GTTACAGGGGATACGAGGAAGAAGAAGACGTGTCAACTGGTGATTGATTCGTTCAAAATTCGCGCGCGTTTGACCACTATGCATTGATTATTCTTTTTATTATTTATTAACTATTATATGTTAATTGAAAGTGAAATGGCTCAGTGGCAAGGGATAAGCGTGTTAACCACAATGACCTGGGTTCAAGTCCCAGGTCTTGTAAAATTTCCATATTATTTTTCATTTGGTGATTCCATGCAGCGCTCATATAAGGACTCACCATGCACTGCAAAGTCAGTTCATCCACGTGTCCCAGATGATCATCCAAGGGTCCAGAACCAAGGCATAGGATGGATGCAAGTCAACAGGCGCACACCTGAGTGGAAAAGTCAATAAATTGCCAGCAAATGGGCCAGGCTTGCACCTCCAAATTCAAATCCACACCCCCTGGTTCTATCTTTTTTTTCTTTTTTTTTCCAATTTTCTTTATATCTTATTATTTTTAAATTTACTTGTGTTTTTATTTTCTGATTTAATTAATTTCTACAAAAATATAAAAAAACATTAAAAATACAGAAAAGGCAAAAAAAAATATAATTAATTTTGATTCTTTTATAAATAAATTAAAATATAACTCATTTAGTTTAATTAGGTCTTAGTTTTAATTTTAATTCTTTTTTCATAATAAAAATCCAAAAAAATGTAGAATTAGGTTAATTATTAATTTTTTATTTTTTTTCTTTTTTTTAATTTTCTCCTTTTTCTCACAATATTATTATTTATCATTTATTTTCTATAAATCAAAAATTGTACATAATTAGTTTAGAAGTTAATTAGGTTAGAAATTAAATCTTTTTTCATAATAAACTTAAAAAACATTAAAACTAGGGTTTAGCACTTTAATTCTAATTAATTTTTTTCTCTTTTTCTTTTAAACCTACAAAACACAAAAAACATTATTTTTCATTTAATTTTTAATTTCCTTGATTAATTTTAATTATTTGTAAAAGGGTCCAACGCCCTAATTTTGTTTAGTCTTTATTTCGCGCATTTATTTTACATTGTTTAAATACCTCTGTATATGCCCCAAAGCCTTGTAATAAGTTTAGATTTATTTCTCGCACTTTTTATTTATTCGCTTTATTTTACTTTCAGTCAAATCGGGTTCGGTTTTTTTGGCGATGTGGACCCGCGCCAGTTGTAATAGTTAGATTTAAATTCCCGCACCTTTAACTGTTAATAAATATGCATGAAAGAATGAATGCCCGAAAATAAAATTGAACCGTTAGATCACCAATGCATGACAAGACAAACAATGAACTGAAAATGACACACAATTCGCACACACCACCCCTAGGGTACGCCTCACTGTTGCCTTTCGAAAGGTGGTCGTCGAGTATAGGACGTTTTAGTAAGTCCTTATGTCCATGACATGATCCAGCTGCCTCGAAACGGTTGCCTCGGAAAATAAAGGATCAATGGCATAAGGGTAGCTTCTAAGGTGTCCTACTGTTGCTCTGGTGACCACCACATCCCTAAAACTCGAATTGACCCGAACACCTCCAACGGTGGTGCTACCTACCTCTCAATGGTGGGATAGCACTACCTTCAAGGACTTTTACACAGACGAATTCCTTAGGGTAGGTAGGTTCTCAAGGGTACTTGCTCTAATTTCAAACAAATCAAAATACCTTTCACACCGACACACTTTCAAAAAACTTTCAAAGCAAACTTTTCAAACACTCTGACGTACGAGTCGATCTGAAATTTTTCAAAGAAACTTTTTTTAAACCCACATTGAAAAGCAAGCAAACATTTTTGAAAACACATTGAGCAAGTATCTAAGAGCCCATGGATAACCATGGATAGAAAGGGTGCTAACACCTTCCCTTTCTATAACCTACCTCCCGAACCGAGAGCAATCTCTATAAGGAATTTTTCTGTGCTTTTGTCCTTTCCATTTGGAGAAAATAAAAGACGGTGGCGACTCTTGCTTCCGCGACATTTCGCGAACCAGCTTTAAAAACAGTCAGTTCCAGATCCACCGATCACAATAATCAAAGAAATTATTATATTGAGTGGCAAAATTAAGATTTAAGAAAGAAAGACATTCCATGACCTCTAAAATTTCATGACACATTTTCTATTGATGGAGAAAGAGATTATTACCTAAGTGCTTGTCTGTTCCTTGACGCGGAAACTTACGGAGAACATATCTCACTGAAACCGAACTCAATCCTCTCATCTTAACTCTGACACCAATCTTCACGAGACGGCTCTTGACCAATTCCTTTTGTATCGTACCTGGTCGAGTTCTACCTTGGACTTCCCGCCCGACTTTCAATCTATTTCTTATAAACCTGATCCACATCCAACAACAGCAGTCTCTGTTGATCCTCTTTTCCTAGTTAGATCAGAGCAAGACCTGTTAGAATCATCCCCAACATTTCCTTATTTAGTCAGGCCCAAGGTTAACCACAGGAGCAACCTTGGTTTTTCTTTACTCTCTAGCCCTACCTGAAACATTTACATTTCAAGTTCAATCTGAACCCTACTAAACGATTCCTCCCGGAATGAAAAGTACGCTTTATCGTTCCACTTCTTTCTGAACTCAGACAAGATTTCACTCGAGTTCAAGCTTTCGTCACTTAGTCAGAAGGGATCACCTCGACATGTCAAAGAACCAGCGCTACCATACCTTGGTCATCTCCGCTGGGCGGGGCTCACCGCAAACCTACTTCCTCTTGGATCCTTTCCCACTGCCCTTTTCTTTCCAATTTCAACTCCAGTGGCCTGGTTCTTTTCTATGTAATTCTTTGAGTCGTTTTGTGTCTACCGCCTCATCCTCAGCCTCTTCCTACCTAAATAAGGCCCCCCTAGTCCTTCTTATCTATTCCATAGAAAATGAAAGATTCATTCTTTAGCCAGATCAACATCCTTCTTCCTATGACCTATCTCCAGATCAAGATCCTAACATGATTAAAGCCATAACTCTACTATTGAAGTACTTAGTAATCCTACTTCCAATTCACTATCTACTTCCTTCGTCAGCCCTCCTCCATAGCTACCTTTGAAGGGAAAGCTATCTAGACCAATCCTAGTAATTAATTTAATATGAGGGACAAAGGCCACTCAGGTCTATATATAGAAAGGAGGCTGGATTGGAAGATTGAGAGACCCGGGACTGTGCAGGTTTGTAGAGAGGCTAGAGAATTCCTTTCACAAAAATAGAATAGTAGGTAAGATTCACTAGCTAGAAGTTGACTGATAAGGGTAGAGTTTGCAGTAATCGATGAGAGAATGGTAATGCTAAAGGTAGGAAGAAAGAAGGCTCATTCTATGCTGACCACTTACTATGGCTCTTCTCTCATTTGATTTGAGAATCTTATTTAAGCCATAGGCTATCGATTGGGGGATGAAAGCATGCCTTTGTTGGTCACCATCACCACCATCGTTAACATCGGTACACTCCTAAATAAGGCCTACCTCCCTTCCATTCTACCAGAGCAGCGATGAGAACAGAGACTAAATTAGCTAAGCAATGCATCAACGGGAGGATTCTAAAATTATCTTCTCATATGACATTCTACTTTGAGCAAGTCACTTATGCCTATTCCTTGATAGGAGAGGGAAAAGCATTAGGCCGGCCAGTACCAGAACGATGATGAATAAGTCTGAGGTGGGTAGGTGGGAATCTGAGGATTAAACTTCTGTTGATGAATGCATTCATACCATCATCTCTATCCCTTGCTCATTATAGGCCAAGCTCTTCCCTTATTAAAGTACTTTGCCTTCGGCATCTCACTTGAATTGGAGAATGTATTAAGCATAGGATCATCCAGAGTCTGTAAAGTCTACCTCGCTTAGCTCAACCTTATCCATAGACGATCTCTATCTCTTCATTGCTATGGTACTCTTTGTAGTAGGTAACTTTCTATACCTGAGCCACTTTACTAACCCTTAGCTTGTGTTCGATACCTCACGCCTTCACTTAATCCAAAAGCTTGGCTTGCTTCGTGTTCCAACTCAGCGATATGAATACCATCGTTAGCAATAACTTCCCATTCGCCTAATCCCTTTATCCCCTCTCCCAATCCCTTCTTTCAGTTGAATGTTTGCAAAGTCCGATAGAGTGGAAGAGAGAGCGGGATTAAGAGACTTAGAGGGCGTATGCTACTAAAGTCCTAACATGGGGGCATAGCGTTTTGACTATATCCTTCCTTACTTGTCGGCGTAACGACAGCTAATGATTTAATACCTAGCTTATTGATGAATTCGGCGTAAGAAGTCAATACTTCCACTTATTCCCTAGAATAGAAGACATGGAGGCCTTACAACTTTTTAGGATCTATTACCTGCATGACAGGAATATTAAATAGACATGAAATCAACGGGAAGCCTATTCCTACCCTAGTTTATTGGCTCTTAGGTCGGTGAAACTGTCCCTATAGCTAAATTCAAGCCAGGAGTTCGCGTTTTAGTTTGAGTTCAGGACAGGAAAGTATGGGACCTAATTAAATGGAGTACTTGTGCCCACTCTCGACGCCTACTTTATTAAACAAAGGACAGGGTAGGCATACTCTTCGACAGACAGAAGGAAGGATTGGACTGGTGCTATAGCTTTCCCTTTTTCTAGCCAAGTAGGTTTTCTTGAAGCACAAGCCATTCTAAGAGCGCAATTCAAGCCTTAGCCTGAAAAAGGCTAAAGACTGTTGGGAGAGTCCTGGGCGGTCCGGCGACCATTTCCCCTTTTCTTTTGGATGTAGTTATTTCCTTACATATAGAGGAATCAAGGAGATTCGTATACGCCCAGAAGCTCGCAAGACCCACGGCGCCTTGCTACAATAACGAGTGGCTAGTTCGTTCAATATCTAGGGGATACCCGTCTACTTTGTTTCACCAAGCAGACCCCACGTACTTTAATTGTCCGTTTGCTACTACGAACCCGACCCATAGGCCCATACCTTTCTCGACCGAAGCCATAAGTAGTAGTTTAACGCTTGATCGAAGCGGCAGTTACCATGCCCGACCCAACTATCCCAGGGCAGAAGGACGCAAAAAGCCCAATGTTACAGGGGCTTGGGATGCCTCACCAGGATGAGGCGGTAGCACTTGGCGTGAGTGCGCTAATAAACCAACCCATTTGATAAGAAACCCTATCGAGTGTACACTTTCGGTTAAGTGAAGGTATAGACCGAACCAGCTCACTAACGAAATTTAAGATCGGGGAATGTTACCCGAAGCATATCTCGTTGGATGGATGTCGTTGCCGCAGAGTTAGATTTTATGGGACTTTCACAAAGCGGACTACTATCAGTAGTATATGCCTTCCCTGGGAAAAGCGGTAGAACATCCTGATCTCAAAGGAGAGCCTTGCTTTTTCTGTGCTGAGTCTATAAGCAAAGAGGGGGTGCCCAGTACACTTGAGATGCGTCCCAAGTTCGCCAATGACCAGTACTGCAACTGAAAGCCAGGGTATCTTACCCTAAAAGGCAGAGTTGGAGGACTTTCTTGGTTCAAATCCAATAGTAGCTAGAACCAGTGAAAGGGTAGTTCACCAGACCCGCTCACGATAATGCGAATGAAACGGCAGATAAGCCTATTACTGGTTACGGTGATAAGATCCTAACAAACGGCCGGTCGGTTTACATTTACAATAGAAAAAGAAAAGATAAGGCAATTAAGGGATGAAAGATAGCGGCAGACTAAGGAGTAAAGACTGACTCTTTCTCTTCTATTCTATGGAACACATTTAAAGACTGACTGACCTACTAGAGGGAATAATTACTCCTATTGACCGAAGGCTAAAGGACTCCTATTCTTTTTTCACAATCTCCGATCAGATGTTAGGAATCGATTGCAGCGAGAAGCCTCTCTTGGCCAAGAAGCAAGAGTTCCGGTGCGGGAGTAAGATTCTTATCCAATCTGTCTATTAGTGGAATCCCCTAAAATAAATCTTAATCTCGTGTAAATGAAGGGAAATTTGATGGCTTAAAGGAGCTTTTAAGCCACTCTTCTAATTCCTCTTGGGTTATTTCCGATCGGGTCTTGCCAGGGGTTGGTGCATTGATACCGAGAATACGCTGTTTGAAAGGTAACTTGATCTAGATCCGGAGTCTAATTTGCACTTTATGGTACAACTTTTTATCCTTTAAATAAGAGGAGGTGGTCAAGACCTTAGGCAGCTCGACGCATCTAGTTTCGGTCTTGCTAACGGGCGACAAAAGGATGTTGGCCTTCCCATTTGAAGCGGAGAAGGGGACCCCACAGAGATCTACCTGGCCTCGCCAGCCAGTCTACTGATTGTCCATATAAAGTATTCTGCAAGCTTCTGGGGCAGGTCGCCTCTTATTTAATCGTATATATATAATGGAATATATAGTTGGGGATTGATCGCTAGTCTTTTAATCCACAAAAACCTCCTAAATACCTACCTTGGCATCTTTAATTGAAAAATGCGTATGGTAAGTAAGAATAAGAATGAACGGAAGGATGGGTCGATTAGATTAAGAGGAAGGAGGAGTAGGCATCGACCTAGTTAGTCGTTCTGAGTGAAGCTGAGGAGGTTCTTGGACTAGTTTATCATGTATATAAATAATAAGGCTCCTTCTTTCTAGAAAGGGTAGTTTTTCCTGCCTATCTGTTCCTATGTGTGAAAACAAGTATGTGAACAGAACATCTTTCAAACATAGAGATTGGGTTGGCGGTCAGTAAGGAAAGCCGGGTGTGGCGATCCGATCAACGAAAATAAATCCTGAAATTACATATATAATGATAGAAGGAATTGTTCAGTAGGCTAATCTTGACAGTTTCCATTTTCGATTGAGAAAGCGGCAGTCCCAAAGAGCTCTACAGTAGTGCCTCCTTGCTTGGTCTCAACAATTTGGCTTTAACGAAGACTTTCTAGAACAAATATTAAACCTTCACTCTTTGCCAAGATAGTACGAATGAAGTTATTAGTGCTACCTAGCCCCGTCTAGATGGAGAATCTCTTATATGATATAAGTTGTCGCTTCGCTCGAGTGACTACGTACCTGCCCCTTCGACATAGATGATTGGACTGTCTTTCTTTGGCCTATAAGAATGGCACTTGCCTTTTCTTGGTCGGTTCGAATCCGGCCCAGTCCTAGGTACGCACGTAACAGACGTTCGTATGAACTAGAACCTTTCTTTTGATCAATAGAACAGGAAGAGGAGTCAGCCAAAAAGAAAGAAAACAAAAAGTAATGACCACCAAGATAATGCATATATTATTTAATATATGGCCCATTTTTTCAGATAATTGTTGTTTTTATCTTTCATATCCTTTTTATTTGTAAGTCTGGCTCTTGGTAATATTTTTTATCTTAAAAGCAGTATTCGCGTACAATTCCGCTTTAGGGCTGCCAGTTGAATTTCGGGCTTCCTGGAATTAAATTTTTGTGAAGGGATTGTATCCCGGTAACTAGGCCCCCCCACAAACGGTTCCCGACATATCTGAAACTCTATTATTAAAACAAATCGCGGAGAACTCTTATATCATTTTATTTCTTACTTTTTTAATAATATTCCTTCTGAGTTGTTCCGTTGTTTTTTTTAGTCAGACTTCTAGAACTAGAATAAATCCGACTAAGGAAGAAGAAGCAAAAATAGGTTTCTTTTTGGGGCAAATTTCTTTTCCCGTGGCCTGCTTCATTTCTCTATTTTTCCTATCTTATAGCGGGTTGGCTCTAAATAATGAGCTGAACATTATTTATTGCTTTTGCCAGAATATTAGCTTCGGGCTTGCTATGACGTTTGAAAGTGGTCATGAGGGGATACACTTAACAGTCTACCCCCCCCCCCCCCCCCCCCCCCCCTCTTACCTAAGAAGGTAGCTTGTCTCACCCAGGAGGTGGGAACAGTTTAAAACAAAGTGGCAAACGGGTGAGAGGGCCTTCGATTTTGATTCTTTTTCTTGAGGGGGATTCTGTCTGTCAGAAATAACTGAGTATGTAGTATCGATTATAAGTTAGGTCTGATGTGAAAAAGATACAACTTTTTTTTAATAAAATATACGCAATATTTTACATCGATTATAAGTTAGGTCCGATATAAAAGATATGATTTTACATAGGTGGCCATATTGGTCTGATGTAAAAGATGTGTTTTACATCAGTTGCCTTAATTGTCCGATGTAAAATGTTTGTAATTTTTAGGAAAAAATTGACTATTTTTCAGCGGATTCCCTGTAATTTTTTTGGTACCTAATTTTTCATATTTTCCCAACATTACACAGACTATATTTAGGTAGCTATTTTCATATTTTTTAACCAAACTAATTTCATTCCACCAAATCTATGATGCACTATATTCTTCAAAATAAATAATTGAGTTACAACATGAACAATTGTATTATAAAATTATAAGGAAGTTTACACGATGCACTACAATAACAAAAATACAAAAATATTCAACCATTTATAAGTCTTTTCCCACACTTGAATTACCAATATGAAATCCACAAGTAGATGAGTTGTAGCTTCGGTAGACAACACAAAAATCACATTCGCTGACAATAAATAATAACATCAAATCACACACACATATATATATATATATATATATATATATATATATATATATATATATATATATATATATATATATATATATATATATATATATATATATATATATATATATATATATATATATATATATATATATATATATATATATATATATATATATATATATATATATATATATATATATATATATATATATATATATATATATATATATATATAATTTGTAACTAGGGTCACCTACATAAGTCAAAGGATTCTATGATGTTTGATTTTGAATGGTATCTAGTATCTATGGGCAAACTTTCTTCGTAATCCAGATAACAAAACTAATTCCCTCATTTTCATTCTATCTAAACAATTTAATAAAAGCATGATAAATACTAAATATGTATGTGATTGCAAAGATGAAATCATTCATCCGGTTAATATTGAAGGGGGAATCATCCTCAGCTAAATACATATGTTAAGGCCAATAACCGTCTCCATTATGATTGGAAAGCATTTTATTATGTTATACAAACACAATAATTAAAATAACCCAGGCAACGATGAGTTTTTAGAATAGGTCAAACCAGATTAACAAAGCTTTGTGAGACTTAAAAATCCATTTTCATGTTAACTTACTAACAAAGAGATGGAAAACTCGTTTAACAAGCAATTGTGACAAAGAAAATATGGAATGGAAATTAGTGAAAGTGAAAACAGGAAACATGGAAGAAAGCAGACATTAAAATCTTAAAGAATCATGTTTTATCCAAACCCAAAGCTCACTGTCATTTAAGCAAGTACTACACACACACACACAAAACAATCATCTAACAATAACTACTCTTCCTACAAAAATTATGATACCTCACATGTTTTACTATTTCTTCTTTTCTTTGTTTTTTCAGGTATTCGGTGCGGTAACAACTAGGTATCAGAGCCAATGGAGATCTAAAAATACTCTCATCCTAATCCTACACACACACACATAAGTGTCGTCTACCAAAGCAAAACTAGTTGGAAATACTTCAAGCACCCCAAAATGCAAAATGCCGGCACGTATAACCTATAAAATATAGTACCACTTCACAATTTCAATATCATCAAAATCATATTCCAACAAAATTCAAAACTCATAGAACTTTCAAATCACTGCATTATAAGCTCAATCCTACTAATTTATACAAAATCAACAAAAATACGAATCACCGATTCATAGTAACGCTAAAAACACTTCTATTCATGCAAAAATTATTGAAAAATTAAATTGAATATATGAAAAATTAAACTGAATCTATGAAAAATTGTTGAACAAAGCAGAAAAAAGAAAATGAAGTGAATCGAGACCAAATAAACATAGAAATGAGAATGAAAAAAATAAAATGAGAAGAAACGACAAAATAGTATATACGATTACGCACCAATGAACAAAGAGCTCTGATCTATCACACATATCTCTCTTTCTCTAATTATTTCTCTGTGTGTGGCTCTGAGAGAGTGTTAGTTTGGGTTTTGAAATAGAACGAAAGAAACGGTGGTGACAGAGTTATTCGCTGGAGAAGCCGCTAGAGAAGTCACATCCAGTCGAGATGAGCTGCACCGAAGGTGGTTCGGAGGGCTTACGAAGGCAAGGCGGAGATGGAGGTGAAAAAGATGGAGTTCGTAAGGAGACAGAGACAAAGGCGAGAGAGAAGGTTTGAGAGAATGTAAAAGTGAAAGGACAAAATATTAGGATTAGGGTTTTATGAAAATAAGAGGAGGTTTTTACATCGGTTGGCCAATTGGCCCGATGTAACGACCAATAAAAAATTCACCTTATTTACAAAACTATCACCATTTTTTTGTTTTTTATTACTGGAAGCTTTTACATCGGTTGGGACAATAAACCAATGTAACGTCCAATTTTTATTTTATAAAAAAAATCCACCTTATTTACAAAAAAACCACCGTGTTTTTATTTTTTATCACTGGAAGCTTTTATATCGCTTGGGACATTAACCCGATGTAACATCCAATTTTTTATTTATCCATCTTATTTACCAAACTACCACCGTGTTATATTTTTCCCTAAATCAAATATTTTTCATATCATTGGAAATAAAGGTCTGATGTAAAATCTTTTGACAAATATTTTTTATATCATATATTTTTATACTTGATATAAAGACCTTTTCTCAAATGTCATATTTTTAGTAGTGAAAGTGGGAGGGGTGGGTGTTCACATGTTAGAGGAGGAAGAGCACCTGACTAAGGAGAGAGAAATATCTTTGAAAAATGAGAGGATTTCGTTTGATCCCATTTTTTATTCATGTGCGAAGCACTATACTGAGGGACACGTGTCATCTCCTGTGCCCTTGGATCCCTGGCCCCTGATCATGCGTTGACTCCCTAGTATGCAAAATTGGTGGCTCTGCATGAGTTAACCTTTTCCATTTGACCTTGGATTCGTTGAGCCTCCAGATATGGGCCTCTCCCCTTGTTTTACTTACCCATACCCTCTTATTTATTCACAAAACTAACTAAATAGTTCTCGTTGACTACAATAGATGTGTGGAGTACTAATACCTTCCTTGCACATAATCGACTCAAAAACTTGAATTTGGTTGCGACAATCATATTTTTATTCTTTTAGTATTTTATTGACATTTTCCCTTTCAAAAATAAACTTTGGTAACGACTTTGTTGTATTACGAGCATTTGTACGCTCGAGTATTTTTTGCTCCGCTTAAACTATGGAACAACAACCCTTAAAACCATTTTAAATAAAAATGCCAAACATGAAAAAATGTGTCCCGACAATCAGATATTGTTTCTATTTGTCACTTTTGTTTCATAATCGACAATTAATCTTTTATAAAATAAATCTAAAGACTTATATCAATATTGTCTAAACTAAAACAATTAATATAATTTAAAGAGAATTGTTGTCCTTACATTATAGTCGTGTATGATTAATGTTATTTGAACATCTAAAAATTGACATTGTATTTTAATAACGTATAAAAAGACACATCATTTATAACTATTAATGTGACATGTGAAAAAAAATTACAAAATTACAAAATAATAAAATAGTATATATTGTATAAATATATGGTGTCCCACACTAACATATTTCTATTTATATTTATGAAAATGAAAGTTGGATGTTTATGTAATTTGAATTTAATAGTCTAAATAAATTTTATAAGGTCGGTTAATCATAACCGTTAAAATTTTAATAATATTTAATTTTTATTTTAATTATTTAAAGAATAACGGTTGTTAATGATTGCGATATGATGGTATAACAAAGCATATGAATTAATCTCATCTAATTTACCTACAAATTACATTAAAATTCTAAAATTAAATTCTTTTAACAAATATAAAATAACAAAACAACACATACTTAAGATTCAACAACTATATTTTTTCCCACAGTATCCTTTTACATAAATAAAACTCTATTTTTATAAAAATACATTAAACTTTCACCATTATTACTTCCCCAATTAGTCTACTAACACGACAGCTAAGCATGATTAGGCAAATTTATCATAAAAAAACAACCTCACACGTGACAACACACATAGATACCGTCTCTAGAGTTTCAAGGAACAACACAACATTACATACATACACACACAGTACTTTTTTTCCTTCCAGTTCAGTTGATAGATAGTAATAATAATTTCACAGCTCACCTCTCACCCCATCATCAAATCAAAAAGGAAAAAAATAATTAATTACGTCACATTCATATCAAGCTCTAAGAAAAATCCCAAGAACCTTATTACTACTACCTTACAATTACATTACAGAATTGAATTTATGAAATTTATGTTTTTGTTTGTTTATATACACATATATTCATGCGTTGTAAGGTTGTATCTATTACCAACCACTGATAACTCCATCGTTTCTTCTTCTTTTTCTTCTTCTACCTTTTCATCTTCTTCATCACAGTTTTTGTTCTTCTTTACATAGATAGCTCCATCTTATCTTAGATTCATTCATTCATAACCACTCACATTTTCAACTCCTCGTATAGATACTCTTGTTTTTTTCTGACAACTTCCTAGATTTATGCTCTCTTAAAGATCTATAACCGTTTTTGTTTTTGTTTCTTCCTATGTTTGTGTCTCTTCACTTATGAAACTGCTGTTTCTGAGATCTGGAATTTCAAGGTTTTTCAGTTGAGGTTAGTTTTTTTTTTTTTTTAATTATTGTGTTTTATGAATTAGTTATTAATTGATTATTGTATGTTTAGTAGGTTTGGTATTATCTTTGAGAAATGGGTGCTAATTTGAATCCTGAATTGTCTAAGAAGACTGTTTTTGGTGTAAAGGCTTGGGAAGTGATTGCAATTGTTGTTGCTTTGTCAATTATAGTGATTCTGTATGTGGTTTCAATTTGTCTTAGTTCAAGGAAGAAATCTAGGAGAGCTAGAAACAAGATTCCTGTTACTGAGATACCGAATGTGTCGAAAGAAATTAAGGAAGTTATGGTTGAGCAAGTGTCGACGAATGGATTTGCGCCGCGAGATGGAATACTTTTAACCATTCATGATAATTCTAGTGATAAGGAATCTGATAAGGTTATGGTTCATTTAGATTTAGGGAAGAAGATGAAGAATGGTGATAGTAGTAGTCATTTGGAGTCGTTTCATCAGTTCATGGAGAAAGATGGTGGTGGGTCGCATTCGCAATCCGGTGAAGAGGGTAGTTCTGGGACGGTTACTGTGTATAAGCAGTCGTCTTCTTCGTATCCTATAACAACTCCTTCGCCTCTATCTGGTCTTCCGGAATTCTCGCACCTAGGTTGGGGTCATTGGTTTACTTTGAGGGATCTTGAACTTGCTACAAGCCGTTTCGCGAAAGAAAATGTTCTCGGTGAAGGGGGTTATGGAGTGGTATATAAGGGACATTTGATCAATGGGAGTCCAGTTGCAGTTAAAAAGATACTCAATAATATGTAAGTTCCATTATAATGCTGAACCACCGTAATTCTTTTCTTCTTCGAAGTTTTTCGAGTTCACTTATTTGAGTTTATCTGCTAACATAAGCACTTGTGAGACTGCTTGTAAGAGCTTATGGACATGATCATAAGTTTCTTTCAACTTATTTTGTACTCCAAAGTAGTTTAAGAAAACATTTTGACTAAATTTTAGTTTTTGTTAATGAAATAGCTTATACGTAAGTAATTTTATGATAAGTGCTTTTGCGTTCCCTTATTATTATGCTGAAGCTCAACTTTCCATTGTGATTTTGTTGTTGGTATAACAGTGGTCAAGCAGAGAAAGAATTTAGAGTAGAAGTTGAAGCTATTGGCCATGTCAGACACAAAAACTTGGTTCACCTTTTGGGATTCTGCGTCGAGGTATATCCTTATTCTCAATTACTTCGACTGTATTGAGTATCATCTTGACATATATATGAATATGAATAATCTGCTTAGCTAAATTAATTAATTGCTCACAGCATAAATGGTAATTATGATTCGTAATATGAATTGCTTTGCTATTTCGTTAATGTGCTTACCTTCATTAAAACAAATGTATTTTCAGGATATTAGTCTACGAGTATGTCAATAATGGAAACTTGGAACAATGGCTTCACGGAGCTATGCGTCACCATGGCTATCTTACGTGGGAAGCACGTGTCAAGGTTCTCCTTGGCACAGCCAAAGCGTGAGTCTCTCTGCAACTACACCTTTTGTTTTCTTAGTAATCCTTGTATAAAGCAATGTACTTGTTTCAGGCTTGCGTATTTGCACGAAGCAATTGAGCCAAAGGTGGTACACCGAGATATCAAGTCGAGCAACATATTAATCAACGATGATTTCAATGCTAAGGTGTCTGATTTTGGTCTGGCCAAATTATTGGGTGCCGGAAAGAGCCATGTCACAACCCGAGTTATGGGAACCTTTGGGTCGGTATTTCTATGCTAAGTATTGTTAATACTATTTTTTAGACAAACCAATTCTTATATGCTTTTTCTCTCTAAATATTTCAGATATGTTGCTCCTGAATATGTAAATACTGGCCTTCTAAACAAGAAGAGTGATGTATATAGCTTTGGTGTTTTGCTACTGGAAGGAATTATCGGAAGAGATCCAGTTGATTATGGTCGTCCGACAAATGAAGTGAGTTAACTATTTTTCTTATCTTCCATATCTCGTACCCAGTACCATACCTGCACCTATGCATTCCTAGAAACACGTCCCTTTCAAATTCAAGAAACACGAATAACATTCTCAGCAATGGTAGTAACTATCTTGTCTGTATGTTTTTCGTCGTCCCTACTCTATTCTATAAGAAATTGTTTCTTACTTCTTGGCTTCTTGCTTTACACCATTCAATGTGCACCAGCTAGGCAATGTGGGCCATTGTTGCCTTCCTTTTTAACAACACTTTTGAACCTTCTAGGTAAGATGACATATACATCGAATGATGATTACATAGCAATAATTTTCTTTTGTTCTTTTCACTGTTCAACCAAGCACTCTCGTGGAGGAAAATTCATTTCTTCGCACTTTTAAACCTTATCCAGTGCTCTTACATCATAGACAGTTGTCATCCTCGAGATTTTGGTTTTAAACCTTCTACACGGTAACTTCTTATCGATCTTTTTTTATACCATAACTGTGAAACTGCAATGGTCTTAGGTGAATCTAGTTGATTGGCTGAAGATGATGGTTGGAAGCAGGAGATCAGAAGAAGTGGTGGACCCAAACATTGAGGTGAAACCATCAACCAGAGCTTTGAAACGCGCTCTCTTAACTGCTTTACGATGTGTTGATCCAGATTCCGAGAAAAGACCAAAGATGAGCCAAGTTGTACGAATGCTAGAGTCACAAGTTGACCGAAGGCAGAGAAGAAGAAATCAAGGAGGTATTGCAGAAATTGAATCGCATAGGGAATTTTCCGACACGGACATGAGTGAGATTCAGGGTTCTAGAGAAGAGAGCAGAGGGTAGCAAGAACGCATGTAACATGACCCGAAGTCGGAATCTTATGGTTTATTGGGATGTATATAGTGGTAGTTTTTAGCATTTTAGATTCTTGGAATTATGGGCATTGGAAAGGGGTAACACAGTAAGATATGTTTTGTTTTTCCCTTTTATGTGCATGAGTTTTTGTTTTAGTGTCTGTCTGTCTGTCCTATTGTTTCTGTATGAAGGGGGTTATTGGTGTGTACATAATCGGACGATTTCATCGTAAATTTCGACTTTGTTTCTTAAATTTGATCCGTTTAGTGAGATAAAACTTGATCGTTGTTGTAAATTTGTTTAGCTGATAGTAACAGAAAGAAATACTGATATAATGGATCGGGAATGCACTTACTATTATGAAAAAAGTAGATATCACATCTCTAAAATATTTGATTACATCTAAAGTTAATTCAAATTTATTAATAATAATAATAATAATACCAAAATTGCTTTTGATTATATACATTTACCAAAAAAAATTATTTTTTTTCTTTCTCATTTTATAATTTCACTTTATCTATCGCCCAAGCTTCTATTGATATGTGATTAAGTTTAATGAAAAGTAAAAAAAATTGAATCACGGGATTATTCTAATGCATATATTAATGAATTTCTATGTTTTTAAACATATTTTCATTTTTTTTCTTTGTTTTGTTTTTTCAAAATATCGCTGGGTGTTCAAAATATAATTAATTGAATTGTATGTTTGAACTTAATTGTATTGAATTATTAAAAAAAATTGAACCACTTAAATGACTAATAAACTAAACCATTTAACTAAAATAATTTAATTTCAATTTTAAATTGATTTAATTATATAAAATTTTTTTTAATAATTTTTTTTTAAATTTTGTTGTTTTCAGAAAATAAAGAAATTTATTTTAAAAAAACTGGAAAAACATTTCCAGAAAATAAAAAGTTTAAAAATAGATTTTTTGTCGGAAAAAAAAATTGATTTTTTTTTTTGAAAAATTAAAAAAATACAATTTTTTTTCTGAAAAAAAAAAACGTAGAACATAGTTTGGTTCTACATCTAATTCATAGTTTTGATGATAACAATTACATGATTATTGTGAAGAACAATTATGCTCTCTAATCGTTTGATTGGATATACAGAGAAGTTCTGATGAAAAACAAAAAAGATAATGACTGAATACAGCTATGAAGCTCTAAAGGGAATATGCGTATAAGAAACTCAAGCAAAACAAAGTAACACGCTAGTAAAAGAAATTCTGATGTTAAATCTTCTGAAAGCATCAAGCTGCAGGTTATACTTTGATAAGTAAAGTTCTAAAAGAACAAAGAAGTTCAACACACTCATCTATTTTGAAGTTATAAGATCAAGCACTCAAGTACAAGATACTCCAATGATCTGTAGATCCGATATCATATTTATGGAAAATCATTAAGGATCAAGAAAGTAAACACTGGAACATCATTACATGGAACAAAATCTGCATTTTTGGAAAGGTCATTATATCTCAAATCAATAATCTTCCAAAAATAAAGTTATACACACACATATGAACAAGTGCTAAAAAATCTTCATATCTTTTTATCTCTTAAAACCATTTATTGTGCTAAAATTTGTGTAAACATCACAGTTGTGATATAGTTTGTTAGAAGCAAATTCAAACACATTGTATAATTGTTTAGAGTTATATTTCCTTGAGAAACTGAGTTGTGGTTTGATCTCAAGAAGACGTTGATAGTTGTCTTCGTGAATTGTAATCATTTTTTATTAGTGGATTAAGACATCGATTGAGAGAGGCGAAATCACCTTGAAAGGTGGACTAGAGTAGCTTTGAGTTCAAAGTGAACCAGGATAACCAACGTGTCGTATTGTTTTAATTTTTAAAAACTCAATTCAAACTTCATTTCTTGTGTTTTTCTATTCTTCATACGCCTCCTGCTCCGCTGATGATCCCCTTGATTGAGGATGACGTTGGGCGATGCTCTTTCCCTTGGCGTATAAAATAGTAGGCGAGTCCCTTGAATGAAGGCGCATAATTAGCTGCAGTCCCACCTGACAAGTAAGCGTCCAAGTGTCCACCCCTTAGCTATGGCAAATCATTATACGAACGTGTTTTCCTTCATTAATGCAACAAATGATGGCATATTTCTCGAAGCTGCAAACGATAATTGCACATGTAGGTGGCATGTAGAGTTGTGCAAAATTCTAAAGTATTTGCGTAATAGCCCAATAAAATGTGTGTCTAGAATCACATGATATTAAATGTTATACTTCTTCTGTTTCAAAATGATTGTCGTTTAAGGTTATTGCACACAAATTAAAAAATGCAATAATGTAGTAAAATAATACAACACTTTTACTAATTTACCCTTACTTTGAAATGATTGTTCTTTTCATTTGTCCAAACCATAAAGTACATCTACCATAGCCTTAAGTGGTAGAATAGAATTTGCATAAGTATTTGTCAGCGTGCATATAAATATGGGTTAAATAAGTTTGTAGTCCCTCCAAAATTTCCAAATTTCAATTTTAGTCCCTCAAATATTTTCCTTCAAGTTTTGGTCCCTGCAATATTTTTTCGTCTGAGGAATTGGTCCCCCACATTAAAAATCATTAACGGTTGTTGAGCTGGCATGACAGGTGGGTAAATTTTATTGTTTCATTTTAAATGAGGTGGTATTAGGTGGCATAAACCCAATTGTTTCAAGTAGTACCCTAATTTCATCCCCTTTCTCGTGAACCTTAATTCCATCCCCTTTCTCCATTCATTCTCTATTTCCCATTATTGTCTTCGTGGTCGTTCACCCTCTGCCGTTCTGTTCTCTTCGTTCACTTTCTACTGTTTTGTTCTTTCATACTTATCTGCTTCAGAGAAAACGTGATGTCGTCTGCTTCAGTGAAATTTCGAGTTTGGAGGCTTTGTGGATGTCATTATCGGATGGTATCGTATCAATTCAAAAAATGGACCAAACAAGGGTATGTTGTTTTGGATATGTCCTAATTGGAGTAGTTATGAAACCTATAATCTCTTTATATGGGATGAAGATATTGGTGAAAACTATGGAAATGAAGATGGTGTCATTAGGAACTTAGAGTTGCATGGCTTGGCATCTTTAGGTTATATGAAGTCCTTGTATGAAGATGAAAGGAAGAAGAAGAAGAAATTGAAGAACAAGTTGAAAAATGAGGAATTCCATGGAAAATTGAAGATGATATTTCTTGTTGTGTCCATTTTGATAAATGTGTATTTTATTTTCAATTATAATTGATGAATCGTTTTGTATTGTAATCAAATGTTAATTTGGCTTAATGTTTCAGCACCATTTTGTTATGGTTGTAATGAGTAGTGTATTTGGCTTAATGAGGACAAGGCAGTTTGTTATGGTTGTAATGAAATGAAATGTGTATTTGGCTTAATGTATTTAGTTGTGGCATGTATTTGGCTGAAATGTGTTATGTAATGAATTTCAAGTAATTTGCACTTTGTTATGATTGTGTACTTGGCTTAAAAGTGTATTTTAATGAATTGCAAAACTTTATAATAAATAACAAAACTTTGATATAAATTGTGTACAAGGCAGTTTGTTATGGTCATGTAATTGGCTGAAATGTCCGGTATGAATGTTGTTGAAATAAATTGCAAAACTTTGATATAAAAAACTTTGGAAAACATAATAGAATTCATAATTCTTGGAATTAGATTCATAATATAACTGTAATTAGATTCAACATACAAAACATACCATTAATTCATTGGTTCATACATAACAAAACATAGTACATAGTACATAACATTTGTTTGAGTCATAGTACATAACATTTGTTTTGTTCATAATACATAACAAGACACTAGGTGTAACCAAAACAGTTTTGTGTAATCATGAGTCTTCATTGAGTCATGCTCTTCTTGATGTCACTCCATTTGTTCTTCCCACAAGCATTGTCAATAGTTGTTTCTTCTTCAGGAATTACAACTGGGTCATCTGAATCCCTTCCAGACCCCTTTATATCCTTTGTCTTCAGTGTCTTAATTCTGTCACTCTTTTTACTCGGAGATGCAACCATCTTCTTCTCTTTCTTTGGTGATATCATCATTTTCACCTATTATGAACATAAAGAGTTACATAATTGTTTGACAGCATACCAAAAAAGCATATATCAGTACAACAGAGAAACTTACAGGGTCACTCATGGCTGGGTTGTTGGCTGGAGTAGATACTTTGTTTGACAATGGGTTTAAGAGACTTTGATACCTTTGGACATTTACCTATAAAGGTTTTGGGACCAGACTTAGTTTTTTTTTGCAGGACTAGGATCAGGACTAGTGTCAATGCTTAATGGTATAATATCTAGTATTTCATCATCATTCAGCAAAGCTTCCAAACTCATCAGGATTTATATCACAATACATCCTCATTGCCTCATCCGAGCTAATAGAATTTTGTGACATGTTTACCCCAGCTTGAGTTTGGTGCTTGAGTAGATGCATCTTCATTTGTTTGACTTGGTGCTTCAGTAGCATGAGTAGTTGCTTCAGTAGTTGCATCCTCAGTAGCTTGAGTTGGTGCTTGAG